CTCCTTAACTCTTGAATTACTAGTGTCGCTGATCAGCGAACACGCGAATGTAAACAAACAGCTAAAAATAGATCCAATTTGGAGATTTATAACTTTTCAGAAAATTGCTTGCAGGCAAATTTTATTCCTGATTACTTAACTTTAGTAGGTATACTTTCAAATTACATGCCTTTTGAACTTCAGATAGGTGCCACTTTTGAGCTATTTTAAGTAAAATATGAGCAATTTTCAGCCTCTCGTCGCCATCTTGAAAACATAGTTTCGTAAAACTATAAAGAAAAATCGTATTAAGCAAATAAAGTTGTTCAATGTCCATGTAGACGAGAGTATTAGTGTTAATCTTGCATGTGAACAGTAACTTTAGGGGATAAACGCATCACAACGTTTTTAAAAAATCAGATGTATTCTTGTAAAATTCCCTTCATTTCCGGTCTGAAAATATTCTCGCAAGGTCAAATTTTAACATGGCTATAACTCCTATAAAACAGAAAGTAGAAACGTTCTGAAAGAAGCTCGATTAATATTGACCAAAGTCTAGTCCATATGCAAAATATGAGCTAAATCTATTTTCCCTTCCTCAAACCAGTGGGTGGATTTTACTGAGAGGCGCTCTTAAATGTTCAATACTGTTTGTTCCTTCGTGTTCAGGCAGGTTCTTCTTGTAGTAGTTTTTTTTTAAAGTTCACTTCAGCCTTTAAATCTTCGTTGTCGAAAGTTTGTCTTCTTTGTCCGTGCTGTTTCGTTCTGAGTCTTCGTAGCTTTTCTTCATTTAAGCTTTACTTCGTCTACGTCCACTGACGACTTTCGATTGTGCACGTCTTTTTATCCTAACGGTCGAGAGGATCTCGTTACACGTGATCTAACAGTGGTATGATCAGTGGCGTGCTGGCAGGGGGAGCCGGGGAGCCACGCCCCCCCAGCTGGTAATTCTTGGGGGGCGCAAAAATGAAAAGGGGGCGCCGATCCCGCCCTGAATTTTGAAAGTGGGTGGAAAAAAAACGCGAAATTCGAAAAAAATATAGCTACTTCCGCCAAGAAACTGAAGAGATGTGTTTATAGGCTTATAAACAGACTAAAGCCCAGGTCAACTACACAACGATAACGATACGAGAACTTGTATACGAGCGCTGATTGGTCAAAAATTTATCGTTATCGTTCGACTGAAAAAAAAAACGCTCAGGTGAGCGATTTTAAAATTGTTATCGTCAAACGATAATTTTATCATTTTCGTTGTAGTGTTGACACTAACACAATTTTGTTGCCAATTATCGCATGTTTACAATTTATCGTATCGCCGCCAAATTTATCGTATAGACCGCCAAATTCTGAGGTTAGTCTCTTTAATGAATACCAGACTTTTCTTAGAAAATGCGACTTGGAAAATATTGAAGTAATAATAATGGGGGATCTGAATTGTGATACCATAAAATGTCCTCCCGAAGCTTACACACGCAGACTACAATTTCTATCCTCACTTTACCAGTATAGACAACTTATTAATGAACCTACAAGGGTAACAAGAACATCAGCAACTTTAATAGACTTGATATTGACAAACAAAGAGGAAAATATTTCGAAATCTGGTGTTATTCATCTTGGAATATCTGATCATAGTTTGGTTTTTG